AGTGATGACTGATAGTGATAAGATCTATCCATGTCCCAACCTGAGCTGAGGTCGGTGGACGCCACGCTAGGTAGTGTCTCCCTTTATGTCTGAAGTTCGTGCTGTCGAGAAATAAATGATTGTATGATCGCAGTTATCTACTCATCCGAAAATGCCACCTAAGTGCCCTTCTGTCTGACTTAGTCTACCCATCTGTGCATTGAAATCACCGGCTACAACAACTACATCTGGTGTTTGGCTTTCAGTGGGTGGCTAGATAATTTTCGGCTTATATCATCTTTTACTTCATCCGAATTGCAGTCAGTAGGTGCGTAAGGAGAAATTAAAGAGACTAGGGTGATTTTCACTGCTTTCTTTAGTTGTCACTGTACTGTCCGATCGGACAGCGCATAAGCGACTGTCCATGTATGAATTTTCTGCTTTAGTGCTGAATGCTATGTGTTCACCTCCAAGACTGCAACAACTAGCCATTGCATTTATCCAGAAAGTAAAAGGGTAGATTTCACAGATTTAACATACTGCCTGAGTGAGGTCAAGTGAACAACCGCACTTGTGTTCTGTATGCTTGTCCCAAAAATGAATTACATATCCATGACCCGAGATGCCGAACATTTGGTTGGTGAAGCTTTTCGGTTGATTTGGAGGCTACTTTAAAACTTTAAAAGATAAGGACAGTTTTCCGAACATTTCTGCACCTCCATCCCTTAATGAAGCTGTCAGCGCATTGTCTGAGCCGAGTGTCGTTCGGTTGTTGAATATTCGGAGTTGCTTACAGACTTCCACTGGTTAAGGTAGGTCGATGTCAAATGGCCATGTAGTACATTACTTTAAAGTCATTGTTGCTCCGGTTGTAAACTAAGTAAATTGCTCCACACGGTGTTTCAAGCGTACATGAACGTCCCATTGTAGTTCCTTTCTCTACTCATCATACAGTGAAGCAGTGTAGTTTTATTATTGTTATTGTCATCACAATCAGCAGATAATAATTTACTTGTATAATGCATATAAAAGAACTACAATAGAACCAGACTACTCAAATTGCTCATATCCTTTTCTCATATTACCTATTATTGTTGGTGTTCGGTGTATCATCTGCTTCCCAAACTATCTTACTGACACCAAGTTCCTCACTACTATTGCCAGGTGAAACTGCTGCTTCCAACTCAATCACGCGTTCTACCAACCAAGCTTCACGCTCCTTATGCAAATGCTATGTGATGTGTTCACTGTCCCTTGGAGTAGACCATCAAGCATCCAGAAGTTGTTAGAAATTCATAAAGACCCAATGTTTATGAGTGAGACGGTCTTCAAGAGCAGCTTTACCAACCGTTTTCGTGGCGTCATGTAGATGCAATCAATGTACATCTATACGTTTTGGAGAGTCGGCAACTAGTCTTGATTCACCCTTGATTTGACTATGAGGTTGAACGAATTAGTTTTTCCTGTTTTGCGCAGTGATTCTGTTGATCACAAAGAAGTTAGACAAACATAGCACATAGTAAAGCGTGATCAAAGTTTATACAGGTGTTGTATAAGGAGTTGCACTCCTGATTACACGCATGCCATCAGCAGCTATTTCCAATGTGGTGTTTTTGAGTTGAAGCATGAGTGGTACAAGAAGGATGCCAAATACTACAATAGAGATGATTGTACGAAGATTCTTAGCTGACTAGAAATAGGTTTTGATCTACAAAAACCTGTAGAAAACTGTCCCCATTATTCAACCTCGATCGGCCATCCCGCGATTTTCGTCTAAGTTTGGACTCATTTTCTGCCTATACTAATTGCAAGGTAGCACTACGACATGCGTAGCGAGTTTTATTGAGTAGACCACTTATTTCATCACAGAACTCTCCTTACCTGAACCCACTTTGCACATAGTTTCAACGTAGTTGGATAATTTTGTGGCTGCATCTAGTTAGCGAATTAAGATAGTGTAGATAGGTCAGAATTTCAATCAGTAACAAGTAGTCAAAATATGACGCGAATAAAAATCAACCAAATCAAATCAATATACGTATTGAATCTTTAAAAAAAAGAATTAAGCAAACGAATGTGTTTTCGTCGATATTACCCTCTTCAGCTGTATAGTCGTATTTAAACATAGTGTGTATAAAAAACATTTCGAAATGTTGACGAGTTTATTAATGGAATGACATTATGATTTTTGTCATATAACAAATTTAACTGCTTGCTAGAATTCTCCAGCGGCGTGTTAAAATCGTCTTTCTCCATGTCATTTCATGTTTCGCACGTTGACCGTGATACTTAACGAACGCCTAAACTGTAACCAGTTTTTGTCTCAGTTGACCACTTTTCGAGTCTTTAACTTGAAGTCTGATTCTCAAGGCATCGTTACCTCTGACCAAATTAGGTTGATACGCTAATTATTGTTCTGGATTGTGGAGCCCATGTGCCTCACTGATATGGAATTAGAGCTACCAAACTCACCTACGTAGACCCTCCTAACCCACCAATCCACTTATAAACATTCATCTTCACCCACTCTCCTTTTTTTCAACAGCCAGCCGCATAAAGCCAATGATTGTGAGATATTTGGAGAGGGTGACCAGGTTCATCTCACCGTCAACAATACCTTGATGTTTAGGTGAGACCAAAAGTGGTCAACGCTAGAAATAGCACGCTCATTCATGCCTCTTGGTTTTGCCGTGTCTGTAGCATGCGTTTTTCTAGCTTGAGTGTAAGACAATCGAATATAAATCCCAACACTAATCAATGTGCCTGTGTGACTAACGTCAAGTAGGTGGCTCTTGCGCTCTGCGGTCACGGTAAACAAATCCACTTGTTCTTTGAGGTACCCCACGGAAAAAACTTACCTAGTGTGCAGCCGGAAACAACCGACCACTCACATACTTCCAGCGGTATATAAAACTCATCTAACCTACCTATCTTCCCTTCACTACCTATCCCTATCACCTGTCACACTAAGCCACCCCTACTTTCCTGCAATTTTCAGACTGGGAGCATTTCTGACGATTCAATCCCATAAAACATCATTTATAGTCTAGAGAAACTAAACCACCAATTTCACGTTTAAGCCTTCAATTTTTGAACCTTACGGCAAATCAGACAAAAGGCTAAACTTGCCGTAACTTTGAAATGTTGGATTATGGATGCATCCTATTTTTCTGAGACACATATGCATGAGCTACGTAAAATTATTCACAGGATCTCACTTGTCTAATGTTAGGAATCTTCAAAGTTCGTTTCACATGTTTCAGAAGATTTGGTGACTAAGTTCACTGTACTCGGTTGTGCAAGTATTGCGCTAGGGCTGTACAGCACACATACTATTCTTGATGGGATTACGGTTGGCAGTCATCCATCCACTGTTTGGTAAATATTTCTCTCTAACAACAGAAGAAGCTATGATGCTCATGGTGATGTCTATTTCTAGTCTCAAATTATATACCCAACAGCTGCAATTCGGACAATGTCATTTTCACTACATAGAGCAGTGTTCAGGTACAGTTTTTTTGGGTGGACGACCTAATAATAATATTGACTTTATTCTGGAAAGTATTTCGAGAATACTGTGCAGAACCTTCAGCATATGGCATTAATTTGACAGAAATAGTGTGTATGTATACATAGAAAAATGAAATCAGTAGGAATTATATGTATAAAAGATAAGAATATTTACTCCGTCTACAACCTTCATGAAAATGCAAAGTTAACTTAGATAACGAATCACACTAGCAATTACATTCATAATACATAAACAGCAAGCAGTGTACTCTTTATTTAGTTTTCTTTCAAAAACAGAAGTTGACCAGTTAGTTCATTTCTCACACTTTCTTTCACGCATAGTAACGAGCTAAATATAGTATTGTAGTTTTTATATTTCTTAATACTCCCAAAAAGTCTTATATACTTTCTTCTCGTCTTGCCTGACGACCAACATGTAGAGAGCTTTGAGTGAGAAAGATGCTGATCATCTTACAAAATATATCCTGCCAAATGTTTACATGAGTTAATATGTTTGTCCACAACCGTTTTAATTAGAAGGTTTAGAAGTACACCACTAGTTCTACTGACAATCTTCAATGTCATATTCAATATAGCATAGTCTTTTTTCAGCAAACCAGGAAAGAATAAAGGGGAACAACAGAGGAGAATAGACAAGGTGCAGGAGTTCATAAAACACAAGAGGAAGAGGCTGAGTTATGCCAAATACTCTCAACTTTTTATAAAGAAATTTTGACGGGAAATTCTTTTGGAAGTTAATACGATATGAGATATTTGAAGAGGATGACCAGGTTCATCTCTCCGTTAACAATACCGCAGTGTCAGAAATGGTCGACCCTAGAAAAAACCCATTGCTTTAACGTCCAGATAGGAAATCTGTGCTGACAACCTGGCAGCGGTGATCGTAGCCTACAGTTATTTTCTGAAAATCACTTTCCGCTACCCATCAATTAATTGACGCATATACAGAATCGTTATCACATTAGGTTCTCTCGACATCAAACCAACAGTAACACAGGTAGGTCTTACTGATATGGATGAATGATGGATAACTGCTGACTGCAGTAACCGAGAATCCAGTTTAATTATGGATATAAAAGCCTTCCAGACTGATCTAGATCACTAATTATTCGAATTTATAAGAATTGAGAAACGTTTTCCTGCGACAACCATTGAATAATTAGTTTAACTAACGTCGCACCTAAAATGGTAGGGTTCATGCTCATCCAAGATTTGGTTGAGAGTCCATAGATCAAATCTTCACCCTTCGACAAATTTTGGAACACAAATTCTCATGTTTCCTAACATGTGGACCTCATTCACCTTCGTCAATCAAGACGTGTTGTAGCAGTTTTAGTTCATTCCCTTCTGTTCAGGTTCGAACAACTAAATAGTATCATTGGTTGTCACACAAGAGGGGTGCATCGTGTATGTTGTGCATTTTTAAAATCTTTCTGTCAATCGCTGTCAAGCAATATTGTATTGCGTTTTTATCTTATTTTTATCATCAGGATCAAATTCATGTAAACGAGAAGCCTGAAGATACGGTTAATACGCATTATACGACAAGACAATCAATTATTCACATTCTAGATAAATTCAAATCACTAAACATTAGTGATAGCAATCATTCAGCACCAATGAAAGAGATAGAATCAAATGGGGATAAGTTGAATGAATTAGAGTTAAATAATTCAAGTCATACATCTAATGGAAGTTGTGAAATATCATCGCACTAACTTATTGGAATTCAACGTGAAGAACATGGCAACAAATAACACGATTCTGTAAATAAAATATACATATGTATTTATCATTTATTTTCAGTTGACCTTCGACAACAACCACACCCGTTGTTCTTTAATAATGATTATATCCACTTGGTTTACTACCATAGTCATTATTGCTGCTAATTTTATTATTATTATTATGATTGATAATTGTTGCTATCACTGTCATTTCGATCACTTCGAAATACCTTATGGCAAGGTTTGATTTGAGTTGTTTTTTTTTCTAAACAAATGAGAGAAAAAGCCCATCTTATAATTGTATTCTTCCTCTCTTTCTTTTTACCCAGACATATTAGTAGATGACAATATTGCTTTAACTTAATTTTCTTTTGTAATGAGTTGAATATAAACCGCTTTCCTGAATATATCTACTGAACGACTTTATTTTCCAAGAAAATCTTTTTCAACGGAGTACAAATCGACACATACACCACTCATTTTGTGTCCACTTAATACCTTATGAGGAAGTATTCAAAACTGTCGTAGTTGGTATGTAGCAGTATGATGCACTTGTCAAATATCTCCCTTGCTGATGCAAAATCTTTGACATTTTTCAATGAGCCAGACTTGTTGTGTGAGGGCTAGTGATACTATTTGGTTGCCCAAACCTCGGTAGATGGAATGGGGTTTGGACCCTAGACTCACTGGTTGACAATAGTCTCCTTAAACCACTGAGCCACAGCTCTAGATCGGTTAAAGTGTTATTAAGAAGATAATTATTTGGTTGATCGATATATATTTCCTGGTTATGGGTGAGTAATGACTATCCTTTAGGTATACTTCTGTGTAGTGGGCGTTGCTGATAAGAATGGATATAAGTAGTATGTGTTGAGAGAGTGGCAAAAACCATGGGGAATTACCAACAATGGGTAGTGATTCGGCCAAGAGAAACGCAAGAGACAAGGCAGGCGTACGAAGAGCAAATCAAGAAAGAAGCAGAAGCGGAAATGAAGCATATTCTGCAAATGACGGTTTTAGTCCAAGTTGTACCATATTTAATGACTACTATCCTACTTGTTGACAATAAAAATTCCTTCCTGCATACCTGTCTTTTGCTTCTTTCACTACTTACTCAGGTATTATATCTCCGTCATATTCTTTCCACTCAGTATTAGACTGAAATAAATCATCGGCGAATGGCATAAGCTTTTGCAATACTTCAGATCTTTGGAGAATACCTGTATCGAGCTTCTATCAGGTTTGACAGATGTATGGTAAGCAGCAAAATCATCATTTAAAAAGTTTATTTCAGCATATTAGTGCCCCTTATTAAATGACTTCACTAAATTTACGACTAAATATCTATCCTCTTCATATTGACATGTTTTCCATTTTTCTCACCTAGCAACAGTCGCAGTTATTACGAAAACCTTATTTCACGTTTCGGTTACTTTCATTCACCACTGTTGTTATATGATCATAGGTGATGGGATTTTAAACTCATGTTGGTTGATGCCGATCTTCTGTGATTTATACAAGCGGATTTATCTGTCTATAAACTGGAATGATAGACTAATCATATTAGATGAGTTAGCGAAAATGAGTGTTCCTTGTCAGTTAGTTAATTGTATGTAAAGCTGCACTGTTTGACCGTATTTCTGGCCAAACACTCATCGCAACTTACAAACCATGCTTACTGTTATTTCTGTCGGTAACAATAACCAGTGCCAATTTCGGTTGAGATAATCAATATTGTGCTGCGATAGATACTGTATTATTTCCTCTTTTGAATACTCTCATCAGTAATGTGTATTACGATTCCTTCACCTCATTTCAGAACCGATCAGCGTACAGGTGACCATCTACTCGGATCCAGTCATTAGGTGCAATTACTACTCTGAATTTATTGGTAATTATACATCTATAAGCCCACGATGACCAGTATTTGAATTCAAAACATCTGATAAGTGTATCTTACGAAGTCCACTTTGACATATTTTAAGAAGCTTAAAGTTCTGGCATGCATTTAACATTGTGGTTCCACTTCTCATCATTTTGTTTCATTGTAACACCTGAAGGTTAAGGAGATAGAGACTGAGGAAATTTTCAATGGGGTATAAAGCTAACGATTGAAAATGCTCATAATTGGAGTACAAAGAAGATGGTTTTTGTATACCAAGAATGTCTCATTTACATTTATTTTCTCTTCAGACCGTGAAAGTTGATATTCTCATGATTTTCCTGAAAAGAAAATGATTGTATGTTGCATAACTACCAGTCCAAGCTACATCCACTCGAAATCGACTACACGGCGTTTTCGGGGTTGGTAGCATTTAGAGTTTCATCTCCTTCTAAGCTGAATTCACATTGGCTAGTAGAACCCTTTTTATCAACGAAGTATTCAGTTTTCGGGCTGACATTTCTTTAGTCCTCCTCTCTAGAAATGGAAATGATAGGAAGCAGCCTAAATGGAAATCAGTATTCTATGTCATCAGCCGCTAAAGTAAGAAGTTTTGGATTTTAACATTGTTTCATGTTACTGTGTGTGTAAGGCCACTTTGTATCACAATTGATCAATGAAAATAAATATTCAACTTCTGACCCAGTGGCTTTGTCCTGAGGAATAGCCGTGTTTCTTTTCAAATGAAGTTGTCTTTCTCACTGTCACAGGTCGGTCTTTGTTTTCTGATTTGCAGCTCAGTGAAGTATCAGGTCTGCGGGAGAATAGTTGCTATTCGTATCCAGTCTCATTGCTTTAGTAGCGTTCTCATATTCTCCTGTCAGTCACTTCAGCAAACATTTTACCGTGGATACATTTGCATCCAACAGTAGTACTACGTCAAACTCCCTTCGCATCAAGTTTTACTTACACAACGATAACAGCTACTTTTAGCTCTTCTACTATTACTGACCTACTAGGCGTAGGAAAACCAATACAAGTTAACTAAGCGTCTGTAATCACCACCTGAAAGTAGCCGTTGCCAATCAGTCAAATGATAAATTTGTCACATAGCATTGTTTCCTATTTGGAGTTGTTTTGTGCATGTTACATTCAATGGCTTCTGTATCTCTCTCTATTTTTTTAACTTTCGAACACTGAGAAGAGCAATGAAATGCAATCAGTCCTCTATGTTTTAAAATTCTTGGTAATCAGGTAGTAAAAGTTACACATTGCCAACTACGTAACTCCTTATTATTAAATTTCTCTTTTTTTACTTAGTGTACTGTCACCGATTTCTAAAATGTTTTCAAACAGTCGTTTCTCAAGAACAACAACGAAAAATGTTATACCGTACGGAAATGAGCTTATAAATGCACATAAGTACATCACACTACCATTCCTATGATACCTAAATTGACTCCCAGATTTTTTTACGGGCTGAGTTAACTGCCACCACCAAAATTACTCTCGATATCTTATTCATTCACCAGTCCAGACGAGAAGCTAGTGTAACACCAGCTGCCTGTTTCAAATTTTTGCCTTTGATACTGTAATTATTAACCGTATTCATATTCAATAATTATTTTATTTAAAAATATTGTACAGGGAATTAAATTTTCGAAATATAACATACTGAGAATTCCATACTGTATCGCATATTTTGTTTGGAATAAAACGATTATTATTACTTAGTAATGAAGTGACTGAAATCACATTGTCATAAAGAAACTGATGGTATGATCTGTCGGAAACTTGATCATGCAGTTTACTACAGACGGATATATAAAAGGCTTGAAACTTGTCCCAAATAGTATTGATAAGTTGATACTGTCTTTCCAGATTAAGGTACTTTCTGGAAATTCAGATTAGCTGAATAATGCTCGGTAATTTATAAAAATTTTACTCACCGAAACGTCTTTTTAACCTGTAAATTATACACCGTCTATATTTTGAAGTATATTTAATTACTGAAATAAAATTCTATCGTCAATCTCGTTAATTATTGCAATCTGTAATGAAGTGCTGTGAAAGATGATTATACGCATGAGTTTCGTATGGCAAACAGACAGACAAAATTAACGTAGGACCTTACACATCAGTACATTGGTTAAAGTTGCCACACTTTACAGTAGCATGCTGGTCACACCGATAGTCAGGTATTTCATGCACTGGTGCCACCTCTTATTCTGGTCATCCTGGGCCTTCTTCCAACTTCAGCATCCGCTAGCTTGGCAGGTGGAAGAAGGCAGTAGTCCGGCATGCATATATCCTAAAACCCATCACAAAAACTTTACTGCAACTTAGATCTATGAGATACCGTCTGCTAAATTACAGTGTGAATCGCTATCTGCTACAGCTGGCGAACACGAAACTCACTTCCAAAATTACACACTCCTACTAATGCATGTTCTTTAGATCCTAGAACACGAATAATTTCTTTGTCGCTTGTCTTGGTTGTTGTTGATAATCGTTTCATCTGAGAACTGACGTTAATAACTTGGTTAAAGTAAATAGTTGTCACTAAGCTATATATTACCTCAGCATAGCTAATCGATAAGTGTAAAATCGATTGACTACAAAGCAGATTTCAACATGAACCGTCAAAAGCTTTAAATTATTGAAAACATAAGGGCACTGAATATGTTTCCTCCTATTGAGGAACGCTTCAATCGCGCATGCCTATGACATCGACTGGCATCGTACTGAGTGTCATCAAGATTTGTGGCTCTTATTTCCGTACTTGAGGATTTGATGAAAAGCGGTGACCTGTAGATTCATGTAAATTATGTGAATGAAGATGGATACCCACCGATGACACTGGATATTGTTAGCGCTGTACAACAAATAGATTGAAACTAAGAAATGTAGCAACTGAGTGGTTATATCCCAACATAACGTCATCATCCATTCAGATCAACCTAGGACCAGGTATCACTGCGTAAAGGTCCGAGTCGCCACACTTCATCCTCCATAACGTAGCCTTCAATTTGGATGGTAACGTGAATTATCTCTTACTTTGCCATCATTCAAAGAAACATAACTATCTGTTTGAGAAACACTAGAAATT